CTCCCCCTGCTTGTGTTCCCTCTCTCACTGTGTCTCTCTCTCTCTCTCAAATAAATAAAACCCTTTTTAAAAAAAAAAAGCCTTTGCATTTGCTGTGCCCCTTAGCTTGAGATATTCTTTCCTAGGATATACACATGGCTTTTTGCCCTCACTCATTTCTTGTTTTCACATAAAAGGCATCTCCTCAGTAGGCCTTCTCTAGCTAGCTTATCTAAAATTTCACCACCTTCCCTCATTTTATAACTTCCTTCCTTGTTTTATTTTTTCTCCTTGGAATTTATCATCCTATAACTTACGACATACTTTAGTAATCTATCCTACTTACTGTCTTTTCTCTCTCACTAGAATGATAGCTCCGTGAGGACTGGGATTTTTGTGGTTTTGCTCTATTTATCCACAGCGAATCCAGCCTGCCACACTGAATCACTCTGCAGCAGGTACACATTGAGAACATATCCTGGGTTTCGCCAGGACGAGGAGACAGAGGGGCAGGAGGGCTGTGTGTTTTCTGAGGAATGGTAACACTGTGAGATCAAGTCTAGGAGAGAAGTGGGGACATTCAGGAAGTGGTGTGTGATTTGAGGTCTCATTAAAATCCGGGAGCTCCTGGGCTGGGCTTACTAGATATTCGGGAAACTAGGAAGTGATGTTTGGAGAGGAGATGTTTGAAATTGAGATGCCAAGAATGTGCAAGGTCTGGGGTGTGGTTTTGTGAGTGGGTGGCTGAGATGAGGTGGAATAAGAGATGAGTGGCTGCAAAACATTGCAGAACTGAGAGACCAGTGTGTTCGATGGACAACTTATTAAATTCTGAAGTCTCCGAGAATGGTGGTAGGTTGCGAGTGAAGTAACTCAAGTGTTCAAGTCACTGAAGAATAAAGGAACATAGCAGAGACATTGGCAATTCACAGCTGTGATCTAGGATGGTTGTAAGAGAGAAAAATCGCCTTCACCCAAAAGCTGAGGAAAACAGGAGAGCTGTGGTGGTGGCCAGGTTTTTGTTAGATCGGGGATTGCAGAGCTACCACCCTTGGGCCAAGTCTGGCCTGCCCCTGATTTTGTAAATGAAGTTTATTGGAACGCTTTGTTTACATAATGTCTATGGCTGCTTTTGGACCCTAATGGCAAAGTTAAGTAGTTGCAACAAAGACTATATGGCCCGCAAAGCCTCAAATAGCTACTACATGGTCCTACACAGGAAATGTTTGAGGACCTTAGAGCAAGAAGGGGAATAGAATGTTCAGGCAAGAGGTTGAAGATACACAGGGACTTTGTGGGTGATGGACTGTGAATTTCAAAGGGGCCTTTTGGAATGATTTGGGAGGAGGGAGAAGGGTGGAAGATGAGGGCACCTTTGGGCAACCTGGCCAGCAATGGTGATCTTGAAGCTTGGACTTCTAATGGTGATTGAGACGGCCAGGGAGGTGAGAGGCATGAGCTGGACCCTTAGGACGCCAGAGGCTGGGGGAGCTCCATACACAAGGAGGTGCTGCAGCACCTACAGGAGCCTACAGCAACTGAAGACCATGGAAGGTTGACTTGCCCTCGGCTGATACACAGGAACATACAGCAGTGAACATCCCTGGGGTCTGGGCTTGCTCACATCTGGTCTGCGGTCAGCTCCCAGAGGACAGGCACTGCCTCATTCCTGACCGTGTTCCCCGGAATACAGAGGAAGGGGCAGAAGGAAGGAGAGAGAGGGAGCAAGGCAGGCAGGTAAACCAACAAGCCATGTCAATAAAAGTTAAAATGACAACTCTGGCTTACATATATTAGCTCTAGAAATTCATAAACCAGATAAAATATTAGCAAGCTTTTCATATTAAAAAAGTCTCTTTATGACCTTAGACAATCAAAGTAAGAAATCTTATGATCATCAGTGCTCAAGCCTATTCCAGGACCTAAAAATCCATGGCTCGGTGACTGAGATACACCATGTATCTTATTCTCCTTGAATGCATTCTCCTTCTAATCAACTACCTGTACCCTAAACAGTGATTAGGGTGCTCCTTTAAAATTTACCCCGACTCTTGCAGGATAAATGAGTAACACATGGCGGCTGGCTAGCCCTGGCGGAACTGTTCTCCTGCTGTTAACTACAACGTCTACCCGACTTAGCCACAGGCAACCTTTCCCACCTTCCGTCAGAATAATGAAGTGGGAGGTATTGCTTCTCCTATCTCAGCCCCACTGTGCTAAGAAGACCCACACTCTGCTGCTTCCAGTCTTCTCCAGCTTCCCAGGAGGATACACAGTTTTGTTACACCCCCAGAGAAACAACCCAAATTCCCAGTAGGTAACCGCCAATTCTAGAACACTCCACCCGTTAACAACTGCATTTTAACACATTGCCGTTTAGGGAGCTGCCTGCTGGATTCGCACGCATATTGTTAAATATTTCTCAGCTCTGCTGCCTTTAGCAAAGGTCTCTCCCCTAGAAACTTGCTCGGAGCTAATGGCCACACCAATAGGAAAAATAAAAACAAGATTCTGAAGAAATTTGATAGCAATTTTTAGCAACGTTGATCTGGTTTCGTCACAGATATTCTGCAGGTAAGAAACCTAATTCAAGAGTGGAAAGTGAAGTCACTCTGAGAGCCGAAAGTTCTGAGAGTCAAAAATGACATCTGAAAATCATATTTGTAAATGTACCCAGAGGCTATTGCATGATGGGCACCCATAGGAGCAGGGCCTTAGGCATCTGCCTATGCCTGGGGCTGCTTGTGTTGATTGGCCAAAATTAGCAGCAGCAAGTTTTCACCTAGGCTTGGACCATCATTCCCTCCCAGCTACAAATATAACTCCCAGCCTAAGGATCAAAGTGATTCCCTTACAAAGAATGTCTTCCATCCCCTTTAGGGGCAAGTCTGAATTTTGTAGCAGGGCACAGTCTGTTCTCTCTGGAGCCAATGAATTTCTGTTATCACTCTTACAGCTGCTATCTCTTGTGTTATCGTATTTACTTTTCTTTACTTCCTCTTGTCTGTGTGCTTTCTCTATCTTTCCTGCCCATTTCTACCTGTTCCTCTGGGCTTTGGAAAGCCAGGAGAGGAGAAAGCATTCTAATATGGAAGCTCTTGGGAAGACTTGATAGCATGGGTAATATTCCAGGGAAAGGAAACAAGATAATCTAAGTCACTTGGTATGTTCCAAGACCGACGAGCAGTTTATTGTGGCTAAAGCAAAGGATACGTCCAACCTTGGGTCAGACTGTGAACTTTTATCCTAAAGGTAGTGGTCAGCCATGAAAGATTCCCTACCAGTGACATAACTAGATTGATGCTGTAGAATCATCTTCGTATTACAGAGGTCTGTAATAGTTATACATGGTTGCATAACAACTCATTCCAAAATTTAGATTTCACATAACAAAGGTTTACTCTCTTATAGTTTTTGTGGGTGAGGAATCCAGCACAGCTTAGCTGAACGCCTCTCTTCAAAGTCTCTCCCAAGGCTGCAATCAAGGTGTCAGCTGGGATGGTAGTCTCCTCAAGGTCGATTAGGGAAAGATCCAATTCCAAGGTAACTCAAGTGGTTTTGGGCAGGACTCATTTCTTCATTGACTATTGCTTGGAGACCTACCTTAGTTCCATGACACTTCTATCTGGGTTTCTTCTGTGGGATGCCCACTTTCTGTAGGCAGAGCAGCTCACACTCTGGCAACTGGCTCCATCAGCATGAGCAACTGAGAGAGCAAGTAAGACTGAAGTTAGAGTCTTTTTGTAACCTAATCTCAGAAGGGACATCATATTATTTTTGGTGTGTTCTGTTCATTAGTAGGGAGTCGCTAGGTCTGGCCCCTCCTCAAAGGGAAGAGATTACACAAGACATGAATTCCAAGAGGTAGAAATCACTGGAGCTCATCAAAAAATAGGAGGGGGATCAGGAGACAATATTATCTAGAATCCAAGGAAGAAGGGGGTTTCAAAAAGTGGGAAGTCATATATGGCATGGAGGTGTCAATGCCCTCTAGCCAAAGCTTGCCAGGAACCCACGTGTAGTTGAACAAGTTGGATGTATTTCTTGTTACAGGAGGGAAGGCACACACCATGGGAACCATGGGGTCTCTCAGTAAGATGGTGTTAGAAGTTAAGATGGAAACTGGGCTTTGGATGAGCGACTGGGGGGTTAGTCTAAGGAAGCAGGGGCTCACTGTGAACTGGATGTTGTCAGAGAGCAGGGACAGTTCTGTGATTGGCTATCTCAGTCAATCTTATCGACAGGGAAGGAGAACTAGAAGGAGGACAAGATGTAACTGGTCGAGAAGAAGCAGTCACTTGTTCTGGCTGAGAGAGAGGGTGTTTCATATTTTATGGTGGCACAGTGACCTTGGTATTGTCTGGGGTTTTTTTGTTTTTTTTTTTTCGGAGGAGAATTACATTTATTCATAGAACCAAAACATCAGACTCAGAGCAGCAGTGGGGAGGCGGGGGTGGAGGGGATAGGGGTGGGGTGGTGGGCAGTGCTAAGTGTCCATTCACAGCCTGTAGGCCCCTCAGTCCCGGGGCTGGGGGTGCTGGTGGTGGGGTGGGGGAATGATCTATCTCTTTGCAATGCCCTCTCTCCCTTATTACTGAGAAGGAGGGTGGAACTGTCTGTCAGGCCCTAACCTTGGGAGATTTGCCTTTTCTTGGGAGATGGAGGCCTGAGCCCTCAGATTCTGCCTAGTGGCTAGACTACTGGGGGTGTCTCCACAGCTCAGGACTTACTGCCACTACTTGGGATCAGAGGAGGGGGTGGGGTGTCCCTTAGTGGCTGGGATCCTTTCACTGCTTCAAGCTCCTACATACTGGGGGAGGGAGTTAAATGACCATCCTACTTTGGCTATGCCCGGGGTTTGAGGACTTTCACCACCTCCATTCCCAGGAAAGGTGGATGAGGGTGATGAATATTGAGATTTCTCCTGGGTCCTCCAGTCTCTGGTGCCCCTGCCAAGCAGGAGTTGAGGGCATGCCGTGGGCTGCCCAGCTTTGAGCCCCGGGAGTGTGGAGTGGCTGGTAGGGGTGGGCTCAAGTCTCAGCAGGTATGTGTGGGGGGCTGGGACCTTTGCTCCTCCATTCGACCCCCACCCTGAACTCTCAGCAGCAACTCCAGGAGCTCCTGTCCCCCTGGGGGTAGGGGAGGCTCTGACCGCTGGGCTTCCAACCGCTGGCACTGGTGACTGAGGATAGTGCTGTAGAGCTGTTCTCTGTCCTCAAGAGGCCGGAGTGGGGCTGGGGCTATGCTTGGGAGGTTCTGGGGGATGTGGAAGGTGGCTCTCTGCTCCTCTAGGTGGCGGGACTGGGCCTCAGCCACCAAATCCAGAAGGAGCTCAGTCTGTAGGGAAAGCAGGGAGGCGGAGCGGGGCCCCAGGGCTGTGTGGCAGGTTCCTGGAGGAGGAGGGGATGGAGGAGCAGATCGCCACGGCCGAGCGGTGGTGTTCACAGGGGGCCAGTCAAGCTCATCCTGATGGGGGCCCTGACCCTGGTCACCTTCCTCTTCTTCCTGGGGTCTCTCGGCCTCCATCCCCTTGGGGCGGAGAAACTGATGGGGGGAGGGGTAGCTGGGATTTGGTAGGAGGGCTGGAACCCTAGGTTCCTGAGGGGAGTGGGGGCTGGAAGGGGTGGGGGTGAGCCAGGGGCTAGATGCCTGGGTACTGAGCAGGAAGCTGGGTTCCTGGTCAGCCCCCCCATGGGCCCCTGGTATTGTCTGTTTTTAAACAAAATTATGAAGTGGCCTTGTTTTGGCTCATTTTACCATGGTCTAAGGGTAGACTTGTCTGAGATTACTGTTCTGTGAGGCTCTTTATGTCTTAGAGGAGAATAACATGACCTAGCCATGAGTGATAAGCCAGCTTCAAAAAGTCAGGGGAAGACAAGTAGAGGATAAGAACATGGCTCTGGAACCAGACTACCCAGATTTAAGTCTGGACTTCACCGCTCACTAGCTCTGTGACCTGGGCCCATTGGTAAACCTCTCCGTACCTTAGTTTTCCCACCTTAGAGTAGAAACTATAATAGTACCTATCTTGTTGGCTTGTTAAGAGGATTCATGAGTTAATATAAGTGTGAAGTATGCAGAGCAAAACTAGCATGTGAGAACTACATGTATGCGAATTATCATTATCATCTGTGACCCTTGAAGGGGCGATTTTGTTAGGATAGTAGAAGGGAGAAGTCGGACTCAATGACCAAAGATAAACAGCAGCGGGTGAAATAAAGTCAGCATGTGCTGAACAGCCCTTCAGGAGGGATAGTGACAGGAAGTTATGCAGAAAGAGGAAGGGGATTGGTTTATCCGAAGTCAGTATAGAGCAGTGCCTCTCGAAGACTGCTAGAAATGCAAAATCTCACACACTCCAAGTGATTCTTTTTTTTTTCAATAGTTTTGTTGAAGTGTAATTGACATACAGTAAATGGCACCTATTTAAAATATACAATTTGGTAAATTTTGACATACGCACGCACCATAAAACCATCACCACAGTCAATAATGAACATCTTCATCACCCCTTGGTAATCTCTCCCTTCTGCACCGCCCCTCCCCACTTTCCCCAGGTGGTTCTGATACTGACGTGTGAGAACCACAGGGCGTGTGAAACGAATTCTGCCACTAAAAGGACCTAGAGTCATGGCTCAAAAAATAATAATAAAGATGAAATCCTAACAGTGAGGAAAGGAAGGAAATGGGAGATAAGGGACAAGATCAGCGTCTGGGAAAGGCTGAGGAGGCTTGCCAGCCCCAACGCTGAGAACAGGGTGTTTGCTGAGCTCTTTCACTAGGCCACCGGTGCAGGGAGCAGTAAGGACATTCAAGGAGCTTTCCAAAGGCCACCACTCATGCACTTTTCCTAGGAAAGTGCTTCAACTCCAGGTCTCTGTTCATGGCACACCCCTGCTCAAAACCAACAGGGGCGCCTGGGTGGCTCAGTTGGTTAAGCCCCAGCTCTTGGTTCCAGCTGGGGTCATGATCTCAGGATTGCGAGACTGAGCCCCTCATTGGGCTCCATGATGGACTTGGAGCCTGTTCTCTTGCATGCTCTCTCTCTATTTCTCTCTCTCTCTAAAAAAACACAAAACAAACAAACAAACAAACAAAACATTCAATAGACTCCCTTTTCTACAAGGTGCAGTAAAAGCAAATAGACAAATGAACAAACAGCAACAAAACCTCAGCCTATCGATACTTGATACAATCTGGCTGCCTGCCTTCCAACACTATCTCTCCCTCTTTCCACTCCAGTCTGCTCGGATCTTGTCCCGTGGGTTTGCTTCAGTTCTGCAATATGCTTCCTCCTTTCCTTCCTTCAGAGAGCGGGTCCCCCTCCTCTGAGTGTCCACTACCCAGCCATTTAAACACCGCTTCAGCCCAAAGCTCTCTCTGGCCACACACCTGGGATGACTCTCTCTTTGCTCTGAATGTTTATAAGATATTCTTGTTGAGAGTGGCAAATCCCTAATGGCAAGGATTGTGTGCACCTCGCCATTGCACCCCAGCCCCTGGCACGCTGCCTTGAACATACTCATTGAATGTTTGCTGACGAGTGAATGGACGAACCAATGAATTTACCTGGAACTATTTATCTTTCGTTTATGTGACTGTGGCAGTCCACTAGGGTTTTTCTACCTTGGCACTTTTGACATTTTAGGTCAGATAATTCCCTGTGGTGGGGGCTGTCCTATAAGTTGTCGGATGTTTAGCAGCATCTCTCGCCTCTACCCACTAGATGCCAGGAGCTCCGTCTTCCCAGCAGGACAACCAAAAATGTTTTCAGACTTTGCCTCCTGCCGCTGGAGGGGGAAGGAGAGCATAACCCTGGTTGAGACCCTTGAGAATTAACTTCCCAGGTTTGCCTGTAAAATATTTATTATAAAAAGGAGAGTGGCAACAATCTAATTCAGGTCAAGGAAAGAAGGGAAATGTTTAACATTTGGAACGCTTCCTGAGTCCTAGGAAACCGCTGACACTTTTCTAAGTGGCTTTCTTCCCATTTCCCTGGTGCATAGACAGTCCATCAATTCCTGCTAACTAACAGCAAAGGAAAAGAGAACGGGAGTAGTGAAGCTTTAAGAATGGAAAGGCTTCAAGTAAGTTGGTATTTTGAAATAGGGTGCCTGTTAGGTTCCTCAAATGGAGCTGTGCAGGTACCTCTCACTTTGTCTCGTCATAAAGCCTGCTGTGTATGATCCATAACCATCTGTTCTCAGGAACTGAAGATGCTAAATCACTTCCCCACATTTGTTATGAGATAAAACATTTCCCATCTTGACTTCGTGTGGACAAGTTCTGAAAGTGACAAAGTCAGAAAACACTGATTCATGCTCCGTCTCTCTGAGCTAATCTAGATCTTTATAATCTTAAGTATTGCCCCCACCGTCTCATAGATCCGGCCTGAGTTTTAATATAGTCATTTTCTTCCTTATTATAATATGATATATGGTGTTCATTTTACAAGTCTAATTCAATGAATTATTTGTTCAATGGGCTATTAAAATGGAGGAACAGCCTGTTACCCTAAGCCTCTGTCTGTTTGCTCTGAGTCCAGGCATCCCTCCTACCAGCACCACTCACTGCCCCCACTGTTTTGCCCTCCCCAGCTGCAGGCGGGTTGCTGCCTTTCTCCTTTGCAGCCTCTTCTTCTTCCCACTTCTCCCTCTTCTTCTTTATTCTCAATCTACTTCACGCTGACATTCTCCTTTGATCCTTTTATGCTTTATAGACCCTTTGTCTCTGTTCTCATACTCAGCTTCTGTGTTATGTGCTTCAATTTCAAATCACCAGGAACATAAGCTGCATATCACTGTTTTCCTCCTTTAGTCACAAAGCAAAGAGAAAATAAAAAGGAACTCATCTTTCTGCCTGAGTGAAACCTTATTCATGCGGTTAGTCGGTGGGTCTGTTGCTCAACACCAGCTGGAGTGAACACTGGACACGATCATCTTAATGAGGGAACTTCTGATGCAAATGAAAAGCATATGCTTGCGGGAAAATAGCCTGGAAAAATATGGTAAGATACCACATCAGGAGGAAAATCAAACATAATAATGATGTTCTTATTGTGTTGTGTTGATATCATAACAATACTCAGCTATCCACAGAATACTAGAATTTGTCCTTGATACGATGACTCTGGAGTTAATTTTGAGTGTGTCTCACACAAGTGGGAAATATCTTTGATCTGGGTCATTAATAAGCAGTGAGAGATTCAGCTAGCTGAAGTCAGAACAACTCTTCGGCAAGATTGCCCCTACAAGTCAGCCCCATGGTGAAGGATTCTGCCATTATGTGCAGGTCACTGTGTCTACATCCGTTTCTTTCTCTCATTGCTACGAGGAGCATCCAGAGCTGTAGAAGGCATAAACTATCTAAAATGGAGAAATGAACACATAACCAGAAATGTGAGTGTACGTATAATAGCAGCTTAACAAATATTACGGACCAGTTTGGAGAACAATGATCCACTCTTCATTCCTAGAGAAGCCTTACACTCTCTCCCACTGGTCCTGTTCTCCCTTGAACTCTTTTATTGACTTGTCACTGTCCCTGATTACATATGCGGCCCTGCAGAACCTAGAAGGGAAGATATTCCAGGTCCTTACTCCCGACTACCAGAAAAGTCTTTTTGAAACAAAAAACACTTATTGTCTCTTCTAACCCCAGGGAAATCTGAGAGTTTGACAGACAAGCAAGCTTAGAAAGGCAATTGTGCTTTGCCTAAGAGGGAAAGATGATGGCAACCTTTGCAAATACGGAAACATGGACTGCAGCCTATCAGAGAACTGGAAGTAAAACATGGAGACTATATCGATTCCTCCTGAGTAGATTTTCACAACATGGCATCAGTATTTCATTTGATATGACTTCCCTGAATAACAAATATATTCACATTCATACTGTAGTCCAAAATTTATTTTCCAAAACCAAATAGAAATAATCTTTAATATCCATGCTATTACCTTTCAATAAAAATGAAGATATTTTTTCTTACGTGTTTATTAATCAGAACATTTTAAAACTTGGCTGATTTTTTTTTAAATTGTAATTTTATTATATAATATAAAAGGAGTATTGGTAAAAAATATCTCATTTTTATTATGACATTGACATTTCTCTTCATGAAGAGAAGCAAGATAATGCCAATACCATTTTAGCCGTTCTCCCTTATGAACTCGATAAATTCATAAAGATAAATGTCATAAAAACAGAGATTAGCAATCATGCATTATATATTATAAGGGATTGCATTTTGATCTGACAGGAGGCTTGGCTTTGCAATATTTTTTAAAGTATTGTAAAATTTCAGAGGTTTTTTTTTGTTTTAATTTTAGCTTTTCAGCTGATGTAATATTTTCTTTCTCTCTTCTCTCATGAGTTTTCTTCCTCTCTTCTTTTTTATTCTCTGAATCACACTTGTTTTCTGAGACTACATTTCAACCAACCATACATAAATCTATTTTCTATGTTTTTCCCCATTCTCAATTATAATGAACCCTTGAATTGTAACCCTCTGGGAAATAAGATTAAACAGTCCATAATCTCAAGTAGTCTTCATGTAATTCTGAAGTAAAAATATGGCAAACTGTCAAATCTGGAAGTGAGAAAGGGAATACTCACAACAGTCCTGTTTGAGCTCTTACAGACTTTCAAGTATTTGGTAGAAGTCCAAAGAAACCCTCAACACAGAACATGACTA